AGCCAGTCAGGTGATGGATGAGTCAGACGATGACTTTAAGGAACTCTGTGCCAGCTTTTTCCAAAGGGTTAAAAAGAATGGCTCCAAGGAAGTGTCTGGGGAAAGGAAGACACAAAAGGCCTCCAACAGCACCCAGATAAGAAGCAAACTGAAAAGGACCAAACCAGCTGCTTCCAAGAGCAAAACCCTGCAAGGCCCTGCTGAGAGGAAAACTCGATCTGGCAGCCAGGCCCCACGGCCTCAAAAGCAGAGGGCACCCAAGTGGCCAGAGAGTGAACCAGCTCCCCCGGAGAATGCAGAGGGAGGTGTGCATGCTTCTGCTGTGCTCCAAGACAGCACGTGGAGCACCCAGACAGGTAACCAGCCACAACCACTGCCAGAATGTTCCCACAGAGAAAAGCAGAGGTGAATTGTGCTATTTTTAACCAGGGGTTGGAAAACTTTCTGAAGAGGACCAGCTAGTAAATTTTTTTGGCTTTGCAGGCCAAACAGTCTCTGTTGCAAACTTCTCAGCTCCCTAGATGATATATAATTGAATGGGCTGTGTTCAGCAAAACTTCATCTACAAAAACAGGCAGCCAGCCCAACAACCAGAGTTTGCCGACTCCTGTTTTAAACAACAGTCATTAAAAAAAATAGAATCCCAGGATGAATTTTCTATATGATATGCTTGGGGTCTTCTGCTATTAATGTTTACATCATGCCGTTGACACGAGTAACATGAACATGGAAATAATGCTGCTTCTCTCATTTTCTTGAATTCACTCCAAAGTGGATAAGTTGCACTGGGCCAGCCAGTTTCGTTAGGCTGCTGAGAGTGGAGTACAAGGGTGCCATGTGGGTTTGAGTCCCAGGAGAATCTTCTGGTCCTTCCTTTCTCCTCCAAACACCTTTTATTCTTCTTCTTTTTCTTTTTGTTTGTTTGTTTAAAGCACATTTCTTATCCTGCTGCCCCTGGGGTACTAAACCATATGCTTAGCATACATTCTTCATGCAGAACTGAAAGCCAGCCTTGCATATATAATACCGTACAAGTCCTGTTTCTAAATTTTTCTCACCTTCACTTCCTGATCTTAAATAACGTTTTACCTATGTGGTCAGCATGGCCTCCCAGTGTGGTGGTGACAGAGACTGTTGTAGGGCTTCAGGGATGTGGCGGAAACATCATTGGTCCTTCCTGCTCCCTCTGAGAGTCTGGTGAAAGCTATGCATGACTTCCCCCCAGAAAACTGCACCCCTACACACCTGCAAAATTGACACACAACTGCTTCATGGATTCCCCTGGAGGCCTTCTGCAGATGCCAAGTTAAAGGAGAACTTCTGATCTAAAAAGATATAAGTGTTTTTCATTAATAATTCTTTAGTAACAGCTTTATAGAGATAAAATCCACGTTCTGTAAAATTCATCCTTTTAAAGTGTGCAGTTGAGTGATTTTAGTATATTCAGAGTTGTGCGACCATCAGCATTACCTAATTTTAGAACATTTTCATCACCCCCAAAATAAACCCCATGCTCATTAGCAGTCACTCCCCATTCCGCCTCCTGTGACAGATATTTATGACAGGTGTGTTTATATTACCACAAACAGTGAGGCTACCGACAATCAGTACTATTCATACCTGGGAGGTAAACCTAAACCCGTCAGTTAACCTGAGGTCTAACATTTGTGCCGTGGGAGAGTCTTGTTTCTCCAGCTACGATAGATGCATGTGAATATTTTCTTCCTCACCAGAGGCTGCTCCTGACAGCAACTCCCAGCCGCTTCCTTCCTGTCTGACTGTGACGGTGCCAAGTCCCTCCAAACCCCGGGCAGCAGAGCTGGTCCTACAGCGGATGCAGCAGTTCAAGAGAGCAGACCCCGAGCGTTTGAAACATGCTTCCGAAGGATGCTCCCTCGAGGCTGCGCTTGAAGAAAACGTCCCAAAGGGCCCTCAAGAGGAGATGATGGCGGGGAACGGTAAGACGGGAAGAATCTGTCTTCCCAGCGGGATAAGTTCTAACCCTGGACAAGCAGAGCCAGGCAGGAACCAGCATTCACTGAGTCTCTGCTGGGGGCACCTCTCTGCCTGGCGGTCTACCTTCACCACTTCATTGTATTTGGCCAAAGAACAGAGGGTCCCTTGGGTCATTTCTCAGCTTCTTTGGCAAGGTGCCTCTTCCTTCCTTTTTTTTTTTTAATTTTGACTTTTTATTACAAAATTTTTCCCATTCAAAAAAGTCAAAGAAATATATTACAATGAAGTCTCTCTACCTTCTATCTAGATTTAACAATTCTATAAATATGTTTCTTCTGTACCACTTGAAAGTCAGTTATAGACATCGTGACGCTTCACCCCTAGATTCTCCTACATAATCACAACACCATAAATATACCTGATTCCATAATATTGCCTGGTACCCAGTTCAAATTCAGACTTCCCCAGTTGTCCCA